AACCAACCTTCACTTCCATTTCTTTTTCCACATTTTTCATCCAAGCTCCTTGAGCCATAACTGTCGAGAGGCTACCTCCGACTGGCTGTTGGGCAAGCATCTAAATTAATTACTGACCAGATTTTTTGGTGACTTTGAAAGAATTTTGAAGTATAAGGTGGGATGCAAACCTCCTTGCTTTTGTCCTCGATCCAGCCGATAAGGGAGGAAAGGGTGTTAGTAAGTTTTTCCCATTCTTGTTCGGCTTCTGTTAATCGCTTTCTAAAATTGATGAATTTAAATTAAACTTAGAAATTGGTTAAAGGACGTCTATCAATTAAAGACATAGTACTTGATTACTTTTTTAGAGCCAAATTTTTTTCCTCAAGTTAATTAAAAAATAAAAACATAGAAATAATTCTTAAAATATATGAAAAACATTACAAATTTCCAAGCAATCATTAATGTTTTCTGAAGAAACTCGTAGAAAAGGAGAGATGACAGCAAGGCAAAGGACAGAGTAGTTTGGAGCATACCTCACGGAATTCTCAATGCTCCTGACATCTATCCACCGCTGTGACACTATTTCTAAACGATTTTGAATCTCCGTACGCTCCTTTCCCGAATCCAACCCAGCTCCAAGCTTTCGTCCCATCTCTTCCACAGATCTTAACACGGGTTCATGCGCGTCTAGTTCAGCCTCAAGCTCCTGTAAAGATCAGCACTTTTTTCGAAACTGCACCAAAGTTTTAAGGTCAAAGCCCTCATTATCGCCGATTACCTTCTGTTTCTGAATCCATTCTCGTCGTTTTGTGGTATCCTTCAACGATTGCGTATTGGCTGTCAATGTTTCGAGTTCACTCAAACTTTCAGCAATTCTACCCAGCCAATCTTCGAATTCAGTGAATGCGGTATGAAAATCGGTTCGCGATCGTAATGTTGCTTCTAAGACTGCACGACGAATTCGCAAACTGAAATCAGTTCAACCTTCATGGTAAATTATCTTTGCGTGAGATAGTAAATTTACAAGTTGTGCAGCGTTAGTAATTAAATATTGATATGATTTTGAAGGTAAATTTCAAATAGATAATCAGTCGCATTCAACTCGCTTTTCCGCTCCAGTTTTATGAAGTGAAAAATGACAATATGAATAATCCAAACATGTGAAAAACATCAGAAAGTAGTAGCTTCTAGGGACCAGCTAGCCAAAAGATGCCCCCAGACTTACACGAAAAACCTTTTTTTGGAAAAAGAAAGTATTCGTGGCTCTTTCATTACATTATGATTTGCAATAACCGATTAGTTGAAGATGTAAGAAATACGAGACTGTGTTTAAAGTTTTGCAAAGCAAGTGTTCTAAGCATTTTGGAAAGTTCAGGAGCAACAGAAGAAGCAGACCATGAGACGCAAAAAAAAGAAGTGCACTTTATGTTATCTATGATGAAGCAACTCTAGAAACACCCAGGAATTCGTTTTTGGTAGTACACCCCGCTGAGGTTCAAATAATGCCGTGAGCTGACGAATTCAAGGATAACGAGATCATTACGCAGCGCACACCCGAGATACATGGGGGAAATAGTGGATACGAGGACATATGAGGTATATCCGACATGCGATCG